CTACTACTACTACTACTACTACTACTACTACCACTATTACTACTACTCCCACTATTACTACTACTACTACTACTACTACTACTACCACTACTACTAACACTTCTACTACCACTACTGCTACTACTACTACTACATGAGTTTCTATATAAAAATATGTTCTGTGTATTTATCAATTAGTACATCTTTCATTTTTATGATTTTCACTGTAGACAAAAAGGACTTAAATAATAATTAAAATTGAACAAAAGAAAAAAAAAAAAAATTTTATTCATTTCTAAAACGTGTTGTTTTTTTCTTTCAATATTTACAGAGCAGTAGTTACTCATCATCTACGAACACCACTAAGCGTACTGGTCACAGTCAGATACCAAAACGTGTCAAGTTACCAACAAGTCAAACTTATCGACCAGTAATACCGTCGCCCAGTGCCACAATTCAATCGATCAAGAGTTCGCCGTTTCTTTAATCGTATCTGAACGTAGGCTGCCAATTAACTTCTTCCTTTTTTTTTGGACTTTTGAACTTTAAGCGTTAGCAGTGACATGAGAAAATTATTTCCGGCGTTTTCCTTTGCTTTCAAACTTTTTTTTTTTTTTTTCAAAAAAAATTCACAGTAGTGAGGAAAAAATTTTTGTGATGCAAATTTTTTTTTTCCATTTACCTTCCTTCGATAATGTATCAAATTAATCGTCGTTTTCTAAAAAGCACGAGGGAAATGCTATAAGAAAATATTTTTAAGAAATTTTTTATTCGAATGGAATATGTTTGATGGTATATTTATTGAAACTGAACTTTTGAAATGTATTTTTACAAAAAGAGAGATTTCGAAAAAAGATTTTTTAAGTTACCCATAAATAATAAATGCGAAAAAACGCACACAAAGTTGCTTAATTCCCGATAAATTTTACACTAAGGCGACTCATCGCTCCATTGTAAAAATACAACAATTGATAGAGCAAGTCTGGATTTATTACTATGTCAAGCTTGCTTATGGAGTTGGTTTGTACTTTTATACTTGTATTGTCAATTGGTAGGAAGTTTCAATTGTCCCGAGGCATCTACGCAATTGAGCAGTAAATGATTTATATTGATTTATATCAATGCGTTCACGCACACATACACACACACACACACACACACACACACACACATGCACACACATTTAAGAAAAAAACTTTGCAACCTCAGCAACTCTGTTTTTCTACGCGGGCCCGGTGTCGGGAGTACCCGCGATTCGCACTAAAGTAATACAACGGTTCTCTCGTCTCTTAACGGAAACATGTGAGTCTATATCAGTTACATTTAACAGCTCTCATATAAAATCAACTAAATGAACATTTAACGGTTCTCGCTATATGTATGTAGCATACACATAAGGGGAAATTAATAGTAACGAGAATTCGGTTGTGTTTTTACTAAACTACTTCATATAAAAATTAAGTTAAATTAAATTAAATTAAATTTAAAAAGAAAAATAAAATGAAAACAAAAAAGTAATGAACAGCAGTGCAAAGGAACTCACTTGTATTTGAGATGCGTGCAAATCCATGGTAATAATATGATCAGCCCCAGCAACTGATAGCATATTGGCAACCAATTTCGCCGATATCGGAGCGCGACTCTATAATTAAACAACATTTATAACAAAGAAAAGAAATGAAAAGAGAAAATATTTTAATTTTTTTTTTTTTTCTTTTTTTTTTCACTTCAAACAATGCATTAAAAGATAAGTCAGTTAAAACTATATGTATGTAAGTATATGTGTGTTGTATATGATGTATATGCAAATAATTAGATAAATCGATAGATAGATAAATAGAATTATGTTAAGATAACTGATGAACAAGACGACTTTGGCACGTGCGGCGATCTCATGAAAATTCCATGAAAATGAACTTTGAAAATTTTGAAGAACGATAAAAAGGGAGACCAAAATGATATATTAAAAAATAATTGTTATTATTATAATCATTTATATTACCCAATTATTCATCAAAAAATACAACATAACATAATTTGTTAGAAGATCGTAAATTTTAAACTAACAAAAAAAAATCGCTATGTGCAATAGGTTTCGTCATAAAGAACGTCGCAAAAAAAAAAAAAAAAAAAAAAAAACGAATAAATAAATAAAAAAATCAAATGGATTTGCAAGAGTCGATTAAACATGTTCGAGTATACTGATGACCGTATAATACATGCACGTTAGGAGATTTGAATTCAATGAACTCAAGCCCTTTTAATTGAAATCAAACTTTTCGAAACTGAATTAACCGATGACAGCAATATCTTATCGCAAACACTGCCTGATCGTAATATTAAGTTTCACTAACACGTATAAAAACTGCAGTCAATTTGATATCAATCAGGATCGTATATGTGTATGTATATATGCCTGAGCAGATAATATGGACACTGATCCTAACATATATACTTGGACTTCTATAAGAGATGAAGACAAAATAAGTCTAAGAATTTAAAAATTTGACTTTAATCCGTAGATCGACATATTTGATTCTATTCCGCAACTGAGTATGGTGCGAATGATATGCGGATGTACGGACATGCTGAGTTTCAAAAGTGCAACTATACCCACTTGAATGAATAGAGGCAAACATTCAATTTAAAAATTATTATATTTCACTCTATTCGCTCGCTAGTCGTGTAAGGGATTTCATTAACGAGAATTTCCATAACCAGGAAAATGTACTTAACTGAAATGATTAAAAAGCTATATAAAAATATATATATGTAAATATATTTCCTTTTTGATTTTGAATAACTAACTGACTAAAAGCTCGCTTCTCTTTCGTTTCCTTTGCCGTTTTAAGTGAGTAATTGCCAACTATAAAGCTATATCTTCCATGTATCGAATCCATCGTCTAAAGTAAATGATTTTTTTTTTTTTTTTTTTTTTTTTTTTGGCAGAAGCTTAACATTTCACCAAAATAGGCCACTTTCGCAGTTGCATCATTCTGGAAAGTATTTATATTAAATTATAGTGCGATTTCAAGTCGTGACCGCCGCAAACTGACGGAGGTTTTTCTCAAAGTTCTAGCGCTTAAAAAAAATGTTTTGGGGAATGGATAAAGGAGTCGATTGGCGGATCGGGTCTATTATCAAATTTGATTTTTGAATAGACGGCCGCACAAATATATGGTACTTAAGTAGAATTCCGAATACCGACATAAAATGTCGTATATCGGTTCCATATAAAGATTGTAAGCGAAATGAAGATTTCTAAGCGAGTTGATTTCCTTTCTTTTTCATTATTCTTCCATCACTAATGTAGGCATTTTTTTTTTTTTTTTGGAAGATAAAAAAAAAATGCATTAAAGAGTCTATATGAAGACGGACTCGTTTCTGCTTCTCTTCAAAAATCAAGATAAATGTATCTAACTATGTATAAGTAAGTGTAACAGTAAAGTGATAATTTCTGCTCTTGAATTTTGATTTTTCCCTTTCAACAGATTCTTTCGAAAAAGTCCTCGCTTTAAGTCCTCATTTTAAATCTATGCATAACGATTTGAGACGATATGATTTCCGATTTTTAGGTCAAATTTCCTCTTCTTCTATTCATTACATATGAAAAGTATTATATGAGGGATGGACCGAAAATTGTTAAATTGAATATTTAATATTTTAACGTACAAAGCCGCTTAATGTGGACAATTCAAATAAGTTGCTTTTATAAATATATAAAGGAAAAGTTGAACAATTTTCATGCATTTTCGTTTCACAATCAAATATTATATCAAGGCACACACAATTAAAAATCTCTGGTACGCTTGAGGGCAACGGGAGGGTTTAATTAACTAATTCTAATACATTTTCGAAAATAATAATTAAAACAGGTAAGAAAATTAAGCAATAATAATAATAATAATAATAATAATAATAATAGCATAATAGAAGGATCACAATTGATTGCTTAACAAAAAGACTAGTAATGAAGCTGAACGATAACAATAAACGGTCCAAGATCTAAAATTAATTGAAAGCTTTAGCCGAGAATTGTTTGAGCTTTTCTATTTGTGGACCCTGTAGATTATTATCTGTCTCTTTTTTCTTTCCTTTTTTTTTTCCTCTCTCTCTCTGTCTCTCTCTCTCTCTCTCTTTCTTTCTTTCTCCCTTTTTTTTTTTTTCTGTCTCTCTCTGTTTTTATTCCTTTCTGCCTCTCACTGTTTCATTTTATTTGCCTTTCTCTGCACATCTTTTTCACTCACAAGCTCACTATTTTCTTTATTTCATTCACTTTCAATCTCTCACTCTACTCACAGTGTACTGCTTAGCTGAAAATTCCTAAAAAGATATTTGGAAAAGAATAGAAAAGTAAGACGTTTTTTTTTTTGTTTAAAACTTAACTTAAAATTCTGTAAAAAGAAAAAAAATTGTTAGAAAAATAATAATAATAAATATTTTAAATTGATAAAAGAAGGGTGTTGTTGTAAGTTTATATCTCGAAAGTTGTTCTCTTTTAGGCATTGTGCGTGTTTTTGAATAGGGCGGTAGGAGGAGAGTGGTAGGAGATGGGAGGTGAGAGGTGCATTTGAAAGTTTTGCTCTGTGTGAAGAGAAGAAGAAAAGGGAGAAAACACGGGCAACCGACTATTATTAAAGGAGTGTGTTGAAAAAAGCATAGGTTAAAACGTGGATAAAAAAAAAAAAAAACCTAAAACAATTTCAACAAGATGTACCGATCATCGAAAATATTTATGGAGATAAACATTCATAAGATACCAGAGTTTATTTATTAAAGTGGCTGTGTGTTCCGCTGGCACTTGAATTAACTGACAATGAAACAAATGACCCAAATGATACCCGATCTAATAATCATAGGGGAAAAAACCTCTCGGTTTGTATTCCAAACCTGACTTAATATAACCTTATCAGTATTCGATTCAAATCCGTATTTATGTCCATATATGCATTCTTCATTTCATCTTCATCCATATCTTATTCATATCTTTAATTTAATCCATATGTTTATCCGCATTTGAATATGCTTACCTATTATCAATCTATTTGTAGATTAAGGACCGCCCCTATATATGGAATAAACTTGTTCGGTAGGAAAACTGAAGGCAATATTTATGTAAAACATACTTTATCGGACGTGGACGATCCAAACAAACGGGTATATTCAATCAAAGTTTCATACGGACAAGCGATTATTTCCAAAAGTAAAAGTGCAATCTACTAAGAAGCTTGTATATATCTTTTTCGAAGCATTCTGATCATGTAAAGTGATATATTTTGTTTTTAACTATGTAAAATATGTTAAACTGAACCTACCGAGTTGCAAGGCAACAATATTAATTTGCGATTTAAATGGACAAAAATTATTTTTTCTTATTCCGCCACAGGTAGACTCGTTCTTACCGTGAAGAGTTAATCTCATGCGACGCCATGGTGAACAGAGTGAGAAAACACTCCAAGCACTTGAATGACAACACGTTATATGATCCTGCATCCCCCGGTATGGACAGAGCGAAAGCGTCTGCCTTTATCTGGGTCAAACGTTCGATTGCAATGCAACTTCGCACGAAAGAAACGCTCTTATCGCGGCTTGAGGCATAGCAACGAACGAAACTCTCCAAAGAGATATATCTGCTGTCAGCCCTAAGCAGAATGAATTGTCGCGACCCCTTCCCAGTAGTACTAGAAACAAAAAAAAAAAAAAAAAAAAAACAGAAAATCACGCTTCCTCCCATACGGTCTCATACGACCTAAAAGAAGAGACTCGATTAAGAGAAACTGCCGTAAATGGGACCAATTTCGTGTGCAGTTTTTCCTCACGTTTTTCCCCCATTAAGCAGACCGGACCACATGTAAAAATTGAAAACATTGAATATCTATAGTATACAGACAGAATTACGACAGAACTGCAAAAATAATGTAAGCGAAAAATTCGAAAAAAACCGGGCAATTATTGAAGAAGAGGGGAGCAGGAGCAATTGTACACTTTACACACTTTTCCAAGATTTACTTAATTGTTGGTGACGCTTGCATTTTATATAAACAGTCGAAAATATTTGCAATAGGTTAGCAATTTTTCCTGTAACTACGCATAAGAAGATAGAAAATTCACTTAATCGTTGACGCGAGTGCAACATTATCGTTGAATGAATAAATGCAATCGCAAAAAAAAAAAATCGAAATACAAAAAAAAAAAAAATAATTCGTTCTTAAAAAATCATTGATAATGAAATATTATTTTTGTTTCGAATAAAGTGATAGCAAATTACAAACGGAACCAAAAGTTCCATTAAAAAAAAAAAAAAAAAAAAAAAAAAAAAAAAAAAAAAAAAAAAAA